TACGGACAGTGTTGACACACATTTTATCAGACAATAATGTTCAGCAGATTGGGTTTTCAAATGATACCTCATAAGGTATACTTTATGCAAAATTTATCATAGTCTTGGAAAAAAGGTGAAAATAAGAGTATAGACTGTCACACCTACCATGCCTGAATCCACACTAACTATCCTCTAGCAAATTACTTTTCCAGGGGTTCTCCCTCCAGCCCTTGCCACAGCTTCTAAGCTTTCCCCAATACTATACAGTAAACTCACTGCTCTGTAGTTTCTTGGTTTGACTCTTGCCTTTGGAGTTATCTGTCTGCTGTCCAGTCCCTCCAAGACCTCTCTAATGCACTTTAACTTAGTGTCTGTTGCTGTGAAGGTTCGCCCATTTCCCCTCTTGGCTCCTGTACAGCTCATGTGGGCATGCAACCCAGAACTGCTGCTTTAAGAACAGCTAAACTTTGTATAACCCATCCTATTATCAGTACCCTGCCTGGCTCCCCTCTGAGAATCTGATCCCTGACTTTGTTATATTTCTTCCCATCTCCTCAGAAAAGACAAAAGCAAAGTAACTGTTTAACGATGTTCGTTCTTTATTCCCCCACACATGGTATCCACTTTCATTTTTAATTGGCTTAATGGTTCCTTTTATCCTTTGAAGAAAGATCCTTTTGGGCTTATTTGTGTGTGTTCTGTAGTTTGCTTTTCATTATTTCTTTTTCTACTCTAATTTTCATCCCTTCTTCTCTTATGCCTGGTCTACACTATGAGTTTGTTGGATTTAGCAGCATTAAATCGAAGTAACCCTGCACCCATCCACACAATGAAGCCATTTTTCTCAACTTAATGGGCTCTTAAAATCGATTTCTGTACTCCTCCCCAATGAGGGGAGTATAAAAATATTGCTCAGGCACGCAGGAGTGAAATCAGGAAGGCCAAATCACACCTGGAGTTGCAGCTAGCAAGAGATGTTAAGAGTAACAAGAAGGGTTTCTTCAGGTATGTTAGCAACAAGAAGAAAGTCAAGGAAAGTGTGGGCCTCTTACTGAATAAGGGAGGCAACCTAGTGACAGAGGATGTGGAAAAAGCTAATGTACTCAATGCTTTTTTTGCCTCTGTCTTCACGAACAAGGTCAGCTCCCAGACTACTGCACTGGGCAGCACAGCATGGGGAGGAGGTGACCAGCCCTCTCTGGAGAAAGAAGTGGTTCGGGACTATTTAGAAAAGCTGGACGAGCACAAGTCCATGGGGCCGGATGCACTGCATTCGAGAGTGCTAAAGGAGTTGGCGGATGTGATTGCAGAGCCATTGGACATTATCTTTCAAAACTCATTCAATCAGGGGAGGTCCTGGATGACTGGAAAAAGGCTAATGTAGTGCCCATCTTTAAAAAAGGGAAGAAGGAGGATCTAGGGAACTACAGGCCAGTCAGCCTCACCTCAGTCCCTGGAAAAATCATGGAGCAGGTCCTCAAGGAATCAATTCTGAAGCACTTAGAGGAGAGGAAAGTGATCAGGAATAGTCAGCATGGATTCACCAAGGGCAAGTTATGCCTGACTAATCTAATTGCCTTCTATGATGAGATAACTGGCTCTGTGGATGAGGGAAAGCAGTGGACGTGTTGTTCCTTGACTTTAGCAAAGCTTTTGACACGGTCTCCCACAGTATTCTTGCCAGCAAGTTAAAGAAGTATGGGCTGGATGAATGGACTATAAGGTGGACAGAAAGCTGGCTAGATTGTTGGCTCAACGGGTAGTGATCAATGGCTCGATGTTTAGTTGGCAGCCGGTATCAAGTGGAGTGCCCCAGGGGTCTGTCCTCGGGCCGGTTTTGTTCAATATCTTCATTAATGATCTGGAGGATGGTGCGGATTGCACTCTCAGCAAGTTTGCAGATGACACTAAACTGGGAGGAGAGGTAGATACGCTGGAGGGTAGGGACAGGATACAGAGGGCCCTAGACAAATTAGAGGATTGGGCCAAAAAAAATCTGATGAGGTTCAACAAGGACAAGTGCAGAGTCCTGCACTTAGAATGGAAGAATCCCATGCACCGCTACAGACTAAGGACCGAATGGCTAGCCAGCCGTTCTGCAGAAAAGGACCTAGGGGTTAGAGTGGACGAGAAGCTGGATATGAGTCGACAGTTGTTGTTGCCAAGAAGGCCAATGGCATTTTGGGATGTATAAGTAGGGGCATTGCCAGCAGATTGAGGGACATGATCGTTCCCCTCTATTTGACATTGGTGGGGCCTCATCTGGAGTACTGTGTCCAGTTTTGGGCCCCACACGACAAGAAGGATGTGGAAAAACTGGAAAACATCCAGCGGAGGGTAACAAAAATGATTAAGGGACTGGAACACATGACTTATGAGGAGAGGCTGAGGGAACTGGGATTGTTTAGTCTGTGGAAGAGAAAAATGAGGGGGGATTTGATAGCAGCCTGCAACTACCTGAAAGGGGGTTCCAAAGAAGATGGATCTAGACTGTTCTCAGTGGTAGCAGATGACAGAACGAGGAGTAATGGTCCCAAGTTGCAGTGGGGGAGGTTTAGGTTGAAGATTAAGAAAAACTTTTTCACCAGGAGGGTGGTGAAACACTGGAATGCATTACCTAGGGAGGTGGTGGAATCTCTTTCCATAGAAGTTTTTAAGCTCAGGCTTGAGAAAGCCCTGGCTGGGATGATTTATTTGGGGATTGGTCCTGCTTTGAGCAGGGGGTTGGACTAGATGACCTCCTGAGGTCCCTTCCAAGGCTGATATTCTATGAAAACATTTCAAAAAATCTCCGAGGCCATGAGGGACAGAGGCTACAGCAGGGACGCAACACGGTGCCGCGTGAAACTTAGAGGAGCTCAGACAAGCATCCCAGAAAACCAAAGAATCAAACGGATGCTCTGGGACAGAGCCCCAGACATGCTGCTTCTACGCTGAGCTGCATGCAATTCTAGCGGGGGCCGCCACCACTACCCCACCCCTGTCCGTGGACTCCAATGAGGGGTACTCTCTGCCCTGCCTGAGGATTTTGTGGCTGGGGAAGATGAGGAGGGGGAGAACAAGCTTGAGGAGAGCACACAGCACACCGTTCTCCCCGACAGCCAGGATCTTTTTATCACCCTGAAATACCTTCCCAACCCAACCAAGCCAGAGAAGGGAGTGAGTACACTCTGGTGAGTGTACCTTTTTAAATATAATACATGTTATAAAAGCAAGCGTTTTTCAATGATTAAGTAGCCATGAGGACTTGGGATGCATTTGTGGCCAGTGCAGCTACTGGAAAGGCTGTTAACATGTCTGGGGATGGAGCAGAAATCCTCCAGGGACATCTCCATGAAGCTCTCCTGGAGGTACTCTAAAAGCCTTTGCAGAAGGTTTCTGGGAAGAGCAGCCTTATTCCATCCTCCATGGTAGGACATTTTACCACGCCATGCTAGTAGCAAGTAATCTGGTATCATTGCATGAGAAAGCCTGGCAGCGTACGGTCCCGGTGTTTTTTGGCATTCAAGCAACATCCGTTCTTTATCTCTCTGTGTTATCCTGAGGAGAGTGATATCATTCATGGTAACCTGGTTGAAATAGGGGAATTTAATTAAGGGGACATTCAGAGGTGGCCATTCCTATGGGCTGTTTGCCTGCGGCTGAAAAGATATCCTCCCTGCAGTTAGCCACGCGGTGGGGGGTGGGGGTGGGGCATTGGCGCTGAGCTGTTCACGTTTGGCTAGCAGGGATCTTTCCTGATACCAGCCACGCGTGGGGTGAGGGGTAAAGCGATCATCCCAGAGAATTGGATGCAGGCAGGGAGTTAGTTTGGTTTCTTCTGCTGCACGTTAACAGGAAAACTGCAGCACTAAATGGCCAACTCAACGTGCTTTGATTGGTATGGGAGAGGGGGGTGCTGCTGTTATGAAGGTTGCAGAAGCCAAAAGACTATGGCTTACCATGGCCGTTTGCATGCCAAATTCTGTTGCCTGGCGCTGCGTATGTGATCTCTAACACCAAAGCCGCATGCACTCAATATAAGATGCAAAATGTGACCTTGTACGAAAATCACATGTGCTATGTAATGTGAATAGTGTTGTTCACCGTGAAAGAGTATAGCCATTGTTCTGTAAAATGTATCTTTTAAAATACTTCACTCCTTTTTTTTCCTCCAGCAGCTCCAAATGTTTCAAGCCTCCCTCCTCCATCCCAAAGGCTATCTCAGAAAAGGCGGCGAAAAAAACCCACACGCAATGAAATGTTCTCTGAGCTCATGCAGTCGTCCGGCACTGACAGAGCTCAGCAGAATGTGTGGAGGGACACAATAGCAGACTACAGGAAAACGGCCAATGAACGTGAGGAGAGGTGGCGGCAGGAAGATCAGAGGAGGCATGATGCAAAGCTGGGGCTACTGTGGGATCAAATGGACATGCTCCGGCGTCTGGTGGAGGTTCATGAATGGCAGCAGGATCACAGACTGCCGCTGCAGCCCCTGTTTAACCGCCCTCCCTCTTCCCCAAGTTCCATAGGCTCTCACCCAGACCGCCCAAGAACGCGGCGGGGGGGGGGAGGCTCCGGGCATCCAACCACTCCATCCCAGCGGACAGCCCAAGGAACAGAAGGCTGTCATTCAACAAGTTTTAAAGTGGCCTTTTCTTTCCTTCCTACCCTCCTCCCACACCCTACCCGGGCTACCTTGTGAGTTATCTCCCTCTTTTTATAATCAATTAATAAAGAATACATATTTTTTAAATGATAGTGACTTTATTTCCTTTGCAAGCAAGCTGTGATCGAAGGGGGGAGGGCGGGTGGCTTACAGAAAATTTAGAGGCAACAAGGGGGTGGGTTTTCATGAAGGAGAAACAAACAGAAGTGTCACACAGTACCCTAGCCAGTCATGAAACTGGTTTTCAAAACTTCTCTGATGCGCAGCACTTCCTGCTGTGCTCTTCTAACCGTCCTGGTGTCTGGCTGCGCGTATTCAGCGGCCAGGTCATTTGCATCAACCTCCCATCCTGCCATAAACATCTCCCCCTTACTCTCACAGAGATTGTGGAGCACACAGCAAGCAGCAATAACAATGAGAATACCGGTTTTGCTGAGGTCTGAGCGAGTCAGTAAACTGCGCCAGCGACCCTTTAAATGTCCAAATGCACATTCTACCACCATTCTGCACTTGCTCAGCCTTTAGTTGAACAGCTCCTTACTACTGTCCAGGGTGCCTATGTACGACTTCATGAGCCAGGGCATTAAGGGGTAGGCTGGGTCCCAGAGGATAACTATAGGCATTTCAACATCCCCAATGGTTATTTTCTGGTCTGGGAAGTAAATCCCTTCCTGCAGCCGTTTAAACAGACCAGAGTTCCTGAAGACACTAGCGTCATGAACCTTTCCCAGCCATCCCACGTTGATGTTGGTGAAACGTCCCTTGTGATCCACCAGTACTTGCAGCACCATTGAAAAGTACCCTTTGTGGTTTATGTACTGGCTGCTCTGGTGGTCTGGTCCCAAGATAAGAGATATGCGTTCCATCTATAGCCCCACCATAAATAGGGAATCCCATTGCAGCAAAGCCATCTAGTATGACCTGCACATTTCCCAGAGTCATTACCTTTGATAGAGGCAGCTCAATGATTGCGTTGGCTACTTGCATCACAGCAACCCCTACAGTAGATTTGCCCACTCCAAATTGATTCCCGACTGACCGGTAGCTGTCTGGCGTTGCAAGCTTCCACAGGGCTATTGCTTGCTTGTGAACTGTGAGGCTGCTCTCATCTTGATATTCTTGCGCTTCAGGGCAGGAGAAAGCAAGTCACAAAGTTCCATAAAAGTGCCCTTACACATGCGAAAGTTTCAGAGCCACTGGGAATCATCCCAAACCCGCAACACTGTGTGGTCCCACCACTCTGTGCTTGTTTCCCGGGCCCAGAATCGGTGTTTCACGGCATGAGCCTGCCCCATTAACACCATGATCTCCAAATTGCTGGGGACTGCGGTTTTAGAGAAATCTGTGTTCATGTCCTCATCACTGCACTGCTGTCACCTCCTCGCCAGTTTTTTCAGGTGGTGGTTCTGCATAAACAGCGTGATAATGTGCGAGGTGTTTACAATGGTCATAACTGCTGTGGTGAGCTGAACAGGCTCCATGCTTGCTTGCTATGGTGTCTGCTCGGGCAATCCAGGGAAAAGGGCACAAAACGATTGTCTGCCATTGCTCTGACGGAGGGAGGGGCGACTGACAACATGGTTTACAGGTTGGCTGACGGAATTAAAATCAACAAACTTTGCATCAAGGAGAAACAGAATGGCCCCCTCAAGGACAGAACTCAAAACCCTGGGTTTAGCAGGCCATTGATTTCACAGGGGAAGGGAGGAGAAAATGAATACAAAACAAATCTGGTCTATTTCTTGTTTTGATCCACTTCATCTACCTTTATACATCTTGCTGACAGCAGACGGTGCAGTACGACTGCTGGCCATCATCATCACGAAACTGCAGAAAAACCTGAGTGTCTCTGGATTATGTTTAGAAGTGTGTGCAACAAGAGTGATGTAGTGGTGGGAGTCTGCTATAGACCACCAGACCAGGGGGATGAGGTAGATGAGGCTTTCTTCCGGCAGCTCACGGAAGCTACTGGATCGCATGCCCTGATTCTCATGGGTGACTTTAATTTTCCTGATATCTGCTGGGAGAGCAATACAGCGGTGCATAGACAATCCAGGAAGTTTTTGGAAAGCGTAGGGGACAATTTCCTGGCGCAAGTGCTCGAGGAGCCAACTAGGGGGGGCGCTTTTCTTGACCTGCTGCTCACAAACCGGGTAGAATTAGTGGGGGAAGCAAAAGTGGATGGGAATCTGGGGGGCAGTGACCATGAGTTGGTTGAGTTCAGGATCCTGACACAGGGAAGAAAGGTAAGCAGCACGATACGGACCCTGGACTTCAGGAAAGCAGACTTCGACTCCCTCAGGGAACGGATGGCCAGGATCCCCTGGGGGACTAACTTGAAGGGGAAAGGAGTCCAGGAGAGCTGGCTGTATTTCAAGGAATCCCTGTTGAGGTTACAGGGACAAACCATCCCGATGAGTCGAAAGAATAGTAAATATGGCAGGCGACCAGCTTGGCTTAATGGTGAAATCTTAGCGGATCTTAAACATAAAAAAGAAGCTTACAAGAAGTGGAAGGTTGGACATATGACCAGGGAAGAGTATAAAAATATTGCTAGGGCATGTAGGAATGTTATCAGGAGGGCCAAATCGCACCTGGAGCTGCAGCTAGCCAGAGATGTCAAGAGTAACAAGAAGGGTTTCTTCAGGTATGTTGGCAACAAGAAGAAAGCCAAGGAATGTGTGGGCCCCTTACTGAATGAGGGAGGCAAACTAGTGACAGAGGATGTGGAAAAAGCTAATGTACTCAATGCTTTTTTTGCCTCTGTTTTCACTAACAAGGTCAGCTCCCAGACTGCTACGCTGGGCATCACAAAATGGGGAAGAGATGGCCAGCCCTCTGTGGAGATAGAGGTGGTTAGGGACTTTTTAGAAAAGCTGGACGTGCACAAGTCCATGGGGCCGGACGAGTTGCACCCGAGAGTGCTGAAGGAACTGGCGGCTGTGATTGCAGAGCCATTGGCCATTATCTTTGAAAACTCGTGGCGAACCGGGGAAGTCCCGGATGACTGGAAAAAGGCTAATGTAGTGCCAATCTTTAAAAAAGGGAAGAAGGAGGATCCTGGGAACTACAGGCCAGTCAGCCTCACTTCAGTCCCTGGAAAAATCATGGAGCAGGTCCTCAAAGAATCAATCCTGAAGCACTTACATGAGAGGAAAGTGATCAGGAACAGCCAGCATGGATTCACCAAGGGAAGGTCATGCCTGACTAATCTAATCGCCTTCTATGATGAGATTACTGGTTCTGTGGATGAAGGGAAAGCAGTGGATGTATTGTTTCTTGACTTTAGCAAAGCTTTTGACACGGTCTCCCACAGTATTCTTGTCAGCAAGTTAAGGAAGTATGGGCTGGATGAATGCACTACAAGGTGGGTAGAAAGCTGGCTAGATTGTCGGGCTCAACGGGTAGTGATCAATGGCTCCATGTCTAGTTGGCAGCCGGTATCAAGTGGTGTGCCCCAAGGGTCGGTCCTGGGGCCGGTTTTGTTCAATATCTTCATAAATGATCTGGAGGATGGTGTGGATTGCACTCTCAGCAAATTTGCGGATGATACTAAACTGGGAGGAGTGGTAGATACGCTGGAGGGGAGGGATAGGATACAGAAGGACCTAGACAAATTGGAGGATTGGGCCAAAAGAAATCTGATGAGGTTCAATAAGGATAAGTGCAGGGTCCTGCACTTAGGACGGAAGAACCCAATGCACAGCTACAGACTAGGGACCGAATGTCTAGGCAGCAGTTCTGCGGAAAAGGACCTAGGGGTGACAGTGGACGAGAAGCTGGATATGAGTCAGCAGTGTGCCCTTGTTGCCAAGAAGGCCAATGGCATTTTGGGATGTATAAGTAGGGGCATAGCGAGCAGATCGAGGGACGTGATCGTTCCCCTCTATTCGACATTGGTGAGGCCTCATCTGGAGTACTGTGTCCAGTTTTGGGCCCCACACTTCAAGAAGGATGTGGATAAATTGGAGAGAGTCCAGCGAAGGGCAACAAAAATGATTAGGGGTCTGGAACATATGAGTTATGAGGAGAGGCTGAGGGAGCTGGGATTGTTTAGCCTGCAGAAGAGAAGAATGAGGGGGGATTTGATAGCTGTTTTCAACTACCTGAAAGGGGGTTCCAAAGAGGATGGCTCTAGACTGTTCTCAATGGTAGGAGATGACAGAACGAGGAGTAATGGTCTCAAGTTACAGTGGGGGAGGTTTAGATTGGATATTAGGAAAAACTTTTTCACTAAGAGGGTAGTGAAACACTGGAATGCGTTACCTAGGGAGGTGGTAGAATCTCCTTCCTTAGAGGTTTTTAAGGTCAGGCTTGACAAAGCCCTGGCTGGGATGATTTAACTGGGAATTGGTCCTGCTTTGAGCAGGGGGTTGGACTAGATGACCTTCTGGGGTCCCTTCCAACCCTTATATTCTATGATTCTATGATCTCCTGGGTTCTCGGTAGAAGACGGTGCAGTATGACTGCTGGCCATTGTCGTCTCCTGGCTGCTCATTAGAAGACGGTGCAGTCGGGCTGCCAGCAGGACTGAATTGCCATGAGAAGAAACTTAAAAGGGAAATGACCTGGCTGAGTCACTCCCATTTTTGCCCAGGCGCCCCTGACCGACCTCACTGAGGTCGGCTAAAAGAGCACCCTGGAGTACGTCAATGATGGCTACCAGTCATACTGCACTGTCTGCTGCCAAAAGGCAATGAGCTGCTGCCGTGTAGCAATGCAGTACCACGTCTGTGAGCACCCAGGTGACAGTGAGCTGAGCGGGCTCCATGCTTGCCGCGGTATGGCGTCTGCACGGGTAACCCAGGAAAAAAGGCGCAAAACGAATGTCTGCTGTTGCTTTCACGGGGGGGGGGGGAGGGAAGAGGGGGCCTGACAATATGTACCCAGAACCACCCGCAACAATGTTTTTGCCCCATCAGGCATTGGGATTTCTACCCAGAATTCAAATGGGAGGCGGAGACTGCGGGAACTGTGGGATAGCTACCCACAGTGCAACGCTCCAGAAGTTGACGGTTGCCTCGGTACTGTGGACGCACTCCACCAACTAAACGCACTTAGAGCATTTGTGTGGGGACACACACAATCGACTGTATAAAAACGCTTTCTACAAAACCGACTTCTATAAATTTGACCTAATTTTGTAGAGTAGACATGGCCTTACTCTCCTTTCTACAGTGGCTGCTAAGCAAGGGACCAGCTAGTACCAGTTGGCTGTGTCTTTGTGGTTTGAATACCTGCCCCCTGTGAACTAGACCAAGGCCCTCCACTTACCCTGCATGCGCTTCCTAACAGCCATTGGATGGTAAATGACCTTCTGGCACTGCTAGGCTGGGCTGGATTAGAACAGTCACCTGCAGGTGAGGGAGAGTAGCTCTTATCTAGTAGTCAGAGCACAGGAGGTTTATAGAGTTTAATGGCAGAAAGGACCATTGTGATCATCTAGTCCAGGGGTTCTCAAACTTCATTGCACCGCGACCCCCTTCTGACAACAAAAATGACTACATGACACCAGGCATTGGCTTCGGCCCTGGGTTCCAGCAAGTCTAACGACAGCCCTGGTAATCCCACTAAAACTGGGTCACGACCCACTTTGGGGTCCTGTGAACTATGCGCCACACAGCAGCCTATTTAGTGCCGAGTAGGCGCTCAAGGAACCTGCCCAGGGACCTGCTGCAGCTGGGGGAGGGGCGCTCCTCCTCTGGTCCCCACCTAGCCTGAGCCACAATGTGCTGTGGCCAGAATGCGGGGCGCCCCTTCCCCCAGCACCAACTCTGCTGCGGTGCAGCCTGGGCTGGCCCCAGGCTGGGCCGGAACAGCCTGGACCCAACTGTGGATGAGTCGCCCGGACCTGCTGGGGCAGTGCGGCAGGATTGGGCCCAACCGTGGTTGGGGCAGGGCAGCCCGGCCCCAGCTGCAGCTGGGGCGGCGCGGCTCAGCCCCAGTCATAGTCGGGGAGCCCAAACCTGCTTCGGTGGCTTGGCTGGAGTTGCCTGGCCCCAGCCGCAGCCAGAGCGGCCCGGACCCAGGCGTGCCCGGGGTGGCCCTCCCCCAGCCTAGACCTGCTGGGGCCTGGGGAGGGGCGCCTAACCTGCAGCCCCAAACCCAGAGCTGCCGCAGCAGGGAAAGAAGCTTCTCCCCCACAGCCCAGGTACTGCTTCTGTGGGGAGAGAGAGCTGGGGGGAGTCCTCTCTCCGTGCATAGCCACTGAGCACTCTCCTGAACCCTAAACCCCTCATTCTTGGCCCCACCCCAGAGCCCTCACCCCCTGCACCCCAATCCTCTCCCCCAGCCCTGAGCCCCTCATCCCCAGTGTCACCCCAGAGCCCACACCCCAGCCGGAGCCTTCACATCCCTGTACTCCAACCCTAAGCCTCTCATCTCTGACCCCACCCCAGAGCCTGCACCCCCAGCTGGAGCCCTCACACCCCTGCACTCCAGCCCTGAGCCCCCTCCCATACTCCGAACCCCTCAGCCCCACTCCCACCACATGAATTTTGTTATGTGCAATGATATGAAGGTGATGTGTCACACATCACCTTCATATTGGTGCATATAAAAAAATTCATTCCATACATGGGTGGGAAAAATTAGAGGGAACACTGGTCCTGACCCACAGTTTGAGAACTACTGATCTAGTCTGAAATTCAGCACCACACAGGCCAGAGAACCTTATCTAGTAATTCCTCCATTGAGCCCATAATGCTATGTACTACTCGTATCTCCTGGGCGCTAGAGCAGAAAGGCCCCAATCCTGTAAAGTATAGTGTGTGATGTGCTGTAGGAGGAACAATTTACAGTGCATAGTTCAACACCACTAAGCTCCACAGAGCCTTCTTTAGTGTGATCTTTATAACCTCAAAGAAATGAGCTTAGGTAAAGAGCTGCTTAAATGTACTGTAAGTCATAAAAATGTGTATCACCCTTCTGCCAAGAGCGGCACAGTTCATTTTTATTAGGAACTGTGGATTACCTCCAGCGTTGTCTCTGTGTGTGGCTCGTCATTTAAGACCTGATCTGGGGCCTAGCTCTGCGGTTGACTCACTGTGTAACTTTGGGCAAGCCACATCACTTCCCAGTGCCTCAGTTTCCCTGAGAGGGATATGATATAGCCTCCCTTTTGCAAAGCCCATTGAGATTAACAGATGAAATGTTCAGTGTTGTTATGTTTTTAGCTCTTCTCCCACTGTCAATCCCTGAGTCATCCCCTCCCCCACTTGTAAACCTTAAACACATTTCCTTTTGTTTGATTTTAAATTCTCGCTTTGACTTTACAGTTTTTTTTTAACTTTACAGCTCAGCATCTAAGGTTAAGAAGACAGTAAAAGTGACAAAGGTTGGAATGGAACAACTCTAAAGCAATACAGACTATGCAATTTCAATGGCAAACATGCAGATTATTTCAACATTCTCAACAGTGAAAGCTCAGAATGGAACAGCCCTAAAGCAATATAGGCTATGCAATTTCAATGGCAAACATGCAGACTATTTCAAAATTCTCAACAATAAAAGCTCAGTTTAGTGCAGTTAGATGCATCCTAAAGAAAATGGAACTAGGTGAAATGCTTAAGCCACTCAAAGCCACCTTATTCAAGCACTGTGTGGTTTCCTTTTGGAATTAGCATGTAAACTGGAGGGAGGAGCAGAGGGGACAAGTGAAGAGAGAAGGCAGATGTAATAGAATAAATGTTTGATTTGGGCCAGAGTAGAAACATCCAAATCCAGGTCCAAATCTTCCCTATATTTTCAGATGTTTGGATCTGGGGTTCTACAGCTGGCCACTGCCAGAGAAGGGGCAGTTGTGAAGGTGAAATTACTTCCCCGAAGGCTGGGATTGTTTAGATCTGGGCCCTTCTCTGGATCACGAATCAGTTTTGTTCAGTGTAATACTAGACCAGGGATGGGCAAACGACAGCCCACCAGCCAATTTAATCCGGCCCTCGAGCTCCCGCTGGGGGGTCAGGGTCTGGGGCTTTCCCCACTCCAGCTGGGGAGCGGGGTCAAGGGCCGCTCCGCACGCCACGGCTCCCAGAAGCAGCGGCATGTCCCCCCTCCAGCTCCTACGTTTAGGGGCAGCCAGAGGACTCTGCATGCTGCCCTGTACGCAGGTGCCACTCCCACAGATCTGCAGGGAACTGCAGGGGTGGTGCCTGTGAATGGGTCAGCATGCAGAGCTGCCTGGCCGTGCCTCTGTGTAGGAGCCGGAGAAGGGACATGCTGCTGCTTCCGGGAGCTGCTTGAGGTAAGCACCGCCCAGAGTCTGCACCCCCACCCCCTCCCGTGCCCCAACCCCCTGCGCCAGCCCTGTTCCCCCCCCCCGAATCCCTCAGTCCCAGCCCGGAGCACCCTCGTGCCCCCCAAACCCCTCATCCCCAGCCCCACCCCAGAGCCTGTACCTCCAGCCAGAACCCTCCCCCCCACACACACCAACCCCCTGCCCGAGCCCAGAGCCCCCTCCTGTACCCTGAACTCCTCTTTTCTGGCCCCACCCCAGAGCCTGCACCCCCACCCAGAGCCCTCACCCCCTTCTAAACCTGAACCCCAATTTTGTGAGCATTCATGGCCTGCCAAACAATTTCCATAACCAGCTGTGGCCCTCAGGCCAAAAAGTTTACCCACCCCCATACTGGACTGTATTTTACAGCCCCTCCCCCAGCACATGCAAAAGTAAGGGAAAAAGAAAACCATTGTTGAGGGTTACATCCCATGACCTCTACACATGTGGAGACGGGGACCACGTGAAGATCAGCAATGTGGCTGTTCCCACTGGAAACACAGCAAAGGGCTATTTGAATGACAGCTACTAACCTTAAATCAGACTCTCTAGTAGGCCAGGTTTCAGAGTAACAGCCGTGTTAGTCTGTATTCGCAAAAAGAAAAGGAGTACTTGTGGCACCTTAGAGACAGGGATCTTATTAATCTCTTTTCTGCATGGACTTTCTCAAATCAGCTCGTAGGGGTTCTTGTATGGGCCTGATGGGGGGAGAGAGAAGACCCAAGTGTTCGACTCATCTCAAGCTGGACATGTTCATTAGTCTAATCAATCCCTATTGAACATGAGGTGGGGAGGCCGCGCTGCCTAGCGACAGAGCAGGGTTCTGTTCCTGGGTCTGCCGCAGGCTTCCCGCGGACGGGGCCCCCCTTGGGGCCAGTTATTGCCACGGATGGACCCGGAGCTGCTCCTCAGCCGCCGGGAGGGGGGCGGGCTCTCTGCTCAGTCCCCGCGGGAGGCGGGCGTCAGACACTAGCCATGAGCGTCCGCCCGGCCTGGCAGCCTGGGCGGGAGTGTTCGTGGCTGGGCCCTTCCACCACGCTCTGGGCAGGCCCGGGGACGCTACGCCGTGTGCCCCTGAGGCGGGGGCTGCGCCCCGCTTCCCCGCACGGCTCGCGGGAGCGGGCTGCCGCAGACAGCCCAGCCGCAGCAAAGCGAGCAGCGCGCATGCGCCTCGAGAAACACCCTGACGGGGCAGGGGGCCCGAGCGGGCATAAGAGCCCCAGAATACCCTGGATGGACTACAAATCCCGGCGTGCCCCGCGCGGAGCCCGCCACGGCGCAGGCGCTGTGCCCTGGAGGTGAGAAAGAGACCGAGTTCCGGCTGAGTCGCTCACGGCGGGTGCGAGGTGCGTCCCGAGCAGGGCTGCCCCGTGCCCCGGACCAGGGAGCCCTTTGCTGGGGGTGCGCGCCCCAGAGAGTGTCCCCGGCCCTCGCGAGAGCCTCTCACCGTGACTCTGGGCTGGACTGGGGGCCGGCCGGCCGAGGCTGGGGCAGGCTGGCATGGGCCGGCCCTAGGTGGGAGCGGGTCCCTGCGGGCGGTGCACGGGAGAGCAGGCTGGACATGCAGGCGGGCCGCGCTGGCTGGGGGCGCTCTCCCCGGCGGCTGCCGCCTGCCGCTCTCGAGCTCGTGGCTTGTGCCTGACCCTGTCTCGCTCCGTTGCAGTGCAGGGAAGCCATGTCCCAGCCCGGCTCCGCTTGCCAGCCGCCGCCGGACGTTGACACAGATGACTGTCTCCAGGACTATTCCTACCTCTTTAGCCCGGATATTCTCAAGTGAGTGCAGGGCGAAGCCGCTCTTTCTGGGCCCCAAACGTCCTAGCTGTTCTCTGGCCCATGACCTGTGCTAGCCAGTGGTTATCTGCACTTTGCCCCTGTCCCGTGTACCATAACAACCCTGCCTCACGCCTTTCAGCCTGAAAAGCGGGGGAGGGTGCTTTCTGGGGGCCCCTCACAGGAATTGTCTTATTATTTATGGTTTCAGAGTAACAGCTGTGTTAGTCTGTATTATTTATGAATGTGGGATTTGTGTTATCACAGCTGGCCACTGGTCCATTAGATCCAGTAGTGTGCTTCTGGCCATTGCCAACATGATTCTCTTTATTTGTTTAGCACATGAGTGTGCGTGGTCCTTCACGTGGTAATAAATTAATATCTAGTGCTATTCATCAGTAGATCTCAAAGCTCTTTACAAAGGTGGTCAATATCATTATCTCCATTTTTACTAATGGGGAAACTGAGGCACAGGATGAAGCGACTCTCACAAAATGACTCAGCTGGCTAGTGGCAAAATCATGATAGAATCCAGGTCTCCTGAGTCCCAGTCCAGTGCTCTATCCATTAGGCCATGTTTCTGCCCTATATAAATAGGGTAGTTTATACTCTACAGGCAGGGCCATCCCTAGTGGGATACGGGGCCAGGGGCGGAAATGAGGCCCGGGGCCCAGAGCGGTTGTCCTGATTCGCCCTACCCACGGGACTGCTCTGTCTACAGGTTTCTGTTGCACAGATATTATGATCTAAATTTATGCTTCAGAGAAAGTTGACCCCTCCACTCATATAGCTAAAGACATCTAGCCTACTGTGCAGTGCTTCATATGTGGGAAGGGATGTTCTTTCCGTCACCTCTGGTGGTCAGCTCATACCTTGAAGCATGAGATTTAATTACTCTTCTCTTAGCATATATAGATTCAGATTCCTAATGTTATTCAGCCCCTAGAATTTGGATTAACTTCCCCATTTATAGATTTTAAAGTACTGTGTCATCAGTGAGAGTGCCCCCTCGATGGAAGGGTTTCTGCAGACAGACAGATTGCTGTAGCACAGAGGTGGGCAAGCTACAGTCTGTGGGCCACATCCAGCACATGGGACCCTCCTGCCTGGCCCCTGAGCTCCTGGCCCGGGATGCTTGCCCCTAGCCCCTCCCCTGCTGTTCCCCCTCCCCCACAGCCTCAGCTCACTGCGCCGCTGGTGCAATGTTCTGGGCGGCGGGGTTGCAGAGCCTGGCCTGACTTGGTGCTCTGTGCTGCGCGGTGCATGGCTGGCTCCAGCTGGGCAGCACGGCTGTAGCACCGCTAGCCACCGGTGCTCCAGGCAGCATGGTAAGGGAACGGGGGGGGTTGGATAGAGGGCAGGGGAGTTCGGGGTGTCGTCAGGGGCCGGGGGTGTGGGTAGGGGTTGGGGCGGTCAGAGGGTGGGGAACAGGGGGGTTGAATGGGTGCAGAGGTCCTGGAGGGGCAGTCAGGAATGAGAGGAGGGGTTGGATGGGGTGGCAGAGGGCAGTCGGGTGGAGGTTCTGGGGCAGTCGGGACAGGGAGAAGGGGTGGTTGCATGGGGCAGGGGTCCAGGGGGGGTCAGTCAGGGAGGAGAGGGGTTGGATGGGGCGGCTGGGGGCAGTTAGGGATGGGAGGTCTGGGGGCGGTTAGGGGGCAGAGAGCGGGGCGGGTGGATGGGACAGGGGTTCCGGGGGACCATCAGGGAACGGGGGGGCTTGGATGGGGCAGGAGTCCAGGGGGGCCGTGAGGGGCGAGAAGCGGGGGGGGGTCGGATAGGGGGCGGGAGCCGGGCCACGCCTGGCTGTTTGGGGAGGCACAGCCTTTCCTAACCGGCCCTCCATACAATTTTGGAAACCCGATGCGGCCCTCAGGCCAAAAAGTTTGCCCGCCCCTGCTATAGCAGATGGACATCGCTGCCTCAGTAGATTCAACCTCAGGAGTCTCTCTAAACTGACCCCTACATTCAGAGTCTGGGACTAAGTATCCCAAGCATGCTGTACTTTAACATGGTGTGTGCTAGTATCTGATCTGCTTCCTAAAGCAGCCTCCATGCCAACAGCCCACTGTCTCACTCCAGGGGGTAGGGTACTTGTTGCTTCCATGAGATTGCTGTGCATGCACTTCCCGTCATTGCTGTGTCTTTGGCTTTGATCAGAATTGTTGCCCTCCATGACTGAGGCAGGGAAACATCTAGATGAATTCCATCCATGAGAGTTTGGTTTTGAATGGCTTTACTTCCTCTGCCAACAGGGGCAAAGCTGCATTCATCACTGGAGGCGGCTCTGGGATTGGATTCCGGGTAGCGGAGGTTTTCATGAGGTATGGATCTCTGATCTTCCATGATAGTTTTGTTCCCAGCCCACCCCATCTTCTTCCTCTACTTTCATATTCCCCAGCTTTCTCTATTCATTGTTTAGCTGAACCAGCCCAGAGAAAACAAGTATTTCCCTAAGTATAGCTTTTGTCTGATTCCTGAACTCACCCTTTGGAAAAGCCTAACTTTTATTTTCATGACTTTTCATTTTGCTACTGGATCCCAGCTAGCTTTGTACATGCCAAAATCTATTGAGAAAGGCTATTCTCTTGTGATTTCCAGCACAGTTTTTCATGTTCAGTTAGTGCTCATATATTTTCATAGAAAATATTATCTTTAAAAACATAAAGTAAAATCACTCCATAGTATCTGTGCTGTATCCTTTGTATATTCTGCTATGCATAGCCAGTGCAGAGAGGATCCATCACATTAGCTGGATGGATGATTGGAGGAATGCTTGTCTTCCAGTCCTGTCTTTCAGATCCTGCCCATTAGATTGTATCAAATGCAGAGAGAGACTTCCCTGGTCGTGTTAACCATTGACTTGTTTAAATCTTTTTACTTTTGTGCACTGAACATAATGTTGGTGCTAAATTAAATTCTGATGAATGTCCATCATTGCTGGCCATTCCCCTCCGTGCTTTCTGGACAGTTCATTCTGTAATCTGGTTGCTCTCCAGAATAACAAATGGTAACATTTGTAATAGCCTTCTAACTCGGATTGAATTTAACCTGAGCATGCTATGGATTGAACACTCTGAATTTGCTCCCATGCTGAGCCCTGTCGGGCTCTCTTCACTACAATTTCCTGTTGTACTTTTCTTCGGATGATGAATCCCCTAAGCACTGTTACTGATGCATAGATTTTAGGACCAGAAGAGAGCATTCTGATCATGTAGTCTGACCTGCATAACCCAGGCCAGAAGTCATAACCCAGCGATTCCTGCCTATAACTTCTGTCTGAGCTAGACTAGATCTTTCAGAGAGAAAGAGGGAGCCAACTTACCTTTGCCAGATGCCCACTGTGGAGAGTGGAAGGCACGTCATGGATAATACCACCTGCTCTCAAACACTATAGGAAAGAGAAGTGAGCTCACCCTGTCTCCTTCCCCTGAAAGCACTGTGGGGTGAGAAATTCCTAGGCATTCCTGTGGTGGAGTTCAGTTTCAGGTTTACTAAGCCACTGTGGGTGTGACTATTAATCTCTTTAAAGATTTTGGGGTAGATGAGCTGAGTGCGATCTGTACGAGGCATTCAGTGTCCCCATTGGGGTTTCTTTGCAGGCATGGCTGCCGTACAATCATTGCCAGCAGGAACTTGCAGAGAGTAGCTGAGGTGAGTAGATGGGAGACTGGTGGGGCGGAGGCTGCGAGGTCCAAGACCATTTTTGCATATTTCAGAGACCAGGATACGATGGGGCAGTAAGGCATGGTGGTACTAAACACCTAATGAACTCCACCGTCTTTCCTCTCCATGTGTGTCTTGAGGAGTATGGTCTGTTCCAGGCACCTCAGTATCTGAAAGATAACCAGTGAGCTGAGGGGGTATGATAAGGAGTATTAGGAGAAGGCTGAGCTCAGAACGCCTCTTGGTGAGATCTGTTGCATTTTGGATTAGTCTTCCAAGGGTAGTGGTAGAAGTTTCAGTGCTTGAGTTATTTACAGCATGACTGGATGGAGCACTGGAAAAATCAATTGTAATAACACCACCCAGCTCTTATCTAGTGATTTTCATCCATAGATTTCAAAGTGCTTTACAAAACGGGGGGGTTCCCAGTATCATAATCCCCATTTTACAGATGAAGCAACTGAGGCATGGAAGGAAGTTAAACCAATGGCAGAGCTGAAATGGGACTGAGTTTGGTGTAGGGTCTAATCCTGTATTGGCTCCAGAGGATGGACTACCTGGGTCCTAGCAAGGTTTTTCCAGTCACTACATGTTGTTGTTTTGTGCATGATTAAAAGGGAGGTAAAAAGAATGAAATTCTAGAAAGTAGAGAAAGAAAAAGGCCTCTTAGGCCCTGTCTACACTAGTAAGTTTCTGCATAGTATAGCAGCCTTCTGTGTTTTAACTCCTGAGGTGTACACACTACCAAGCCACTTAGTGTGCAGAAACTACGAAGTTGCAGCGCTGTAAAAAAAACACCCTGACAAGAGGCGTAGAGGTTTCTGCGCTGAGGGTACAGTGTAGACACCCTGGTCGATTTACAGCTCTGTGATTGGCCCCCAGGAGGTGTCCCACAGTGCCTATTCTTGCCTCTCTGATCGTCGGTTTGAACTCTACTGCCCTGCCCTCAGGAGATCAAACGTCATCCCTACCCTGTAAATTCCTTTGGAAATTTGAAAGTCCCCTTCCTGTTTGCTCGGTGATGTGTGCAGTGGTCTCAGCACATCTTTCCAGGTGGCCATGCCCGCTCCATGCACCAGGTGATCCCCCTCTTGGAGCAATGCTGAGCTGCTGGACCTCATCAGCATTTGGGGAGACGAGGCAGTGCAGTCACAGCTGTGCTCCAGCCGTAGGAATTATGATACCTTCGGACAGATTTCACAATGCATGACAGAAAAGGGCCATGACCGGGGGACACTGCAGTGCAGGGTCAAAGTGAAGGAGTTGCCGAACACCTACCACAAGGTGTGGGAGGCAAACTGCCACTCTGTAGAACTGGCAGCTCATGGACACAGCACCAAAGAACTGGACGTGATACTCAGTGGCAACCCCACTTCCACTGCAAAGGCTGCTGTGGATACTTGGGTGGACCGAGCCAGGAGGAGAAAACCTTGGACGAGGATGTGAATTGGGAGGAGGACCCAGAGGCAGAGGACGACATGGAGGTCAGAGATGCAGGCAGCCAGGAGCTCTTTTCTGCTCCTCTGGGGTAGAAAAGAGCCTAGCCAGTCACAGCAGTTGGATCTTGGCGAAGTGCAAACTGGAGAGGAGGCCCCTGGTAAGTGGATTTGATTTTGGGAATCGCTGAAGCAAGTTGTTGGGAGCAGGAGGGTTGCAGAAAGCAGGCTTGTGTTTGTATGATGCGCATACCACCACATGCCTAGTCTGAGCAGCAGAACAGGCTGTTGATTGACTCCCTCACTTTGTGGGAATCTGCTTCAGATCTCCAGGAAACTCTCATGGAGATACTGGGCAATCCACTGCCACAGGTTCTTTGGTAGAGCTGCTTTATTTCTTGCCCCATTAATGGTAACTTTCCTGCACCACTGTGCTGTCACGGGGTGAGAGGGGGGAACATTGCTGCACACAGGCAAGCCGCATAAAGGTCAGGGTGGAAGCCACAGTCTTGAAGAAAACCCTCCCTTGATTCCCTGCTCACCGTCAGCATCGAGATGTCTTCCATAGTGAACATATCCTGTGGAAAATGTAAGGACAGGAATGATCGGTAGCAGTCTGGAATAGCCAGCTTCCACAGTGCAATTGCCATGCGCTTCTTCAACGGCAAGGCAGCTCTCATTCTTGTGTCCTTGTGCCGCAGGGTTGGGGTGAGCTCATCACACAGTCCCATGAATGTGGCTTTCCTGATCCGAAAGTTCTTTGGCCACTGCTAGTCATCCCAGACGATGTGATTCCACCACTCATTGCTTGTTTCCCAAGCCCAAAAGTGGCTTTCCACTGTGGTCAGCACCTCCGTGAATGCCATAAGCAATCTCATGTTGTAGCTAGTACATGTGGCAAGATCAATGTCACTCTCCTCTTGCCTTTGTAGTTTAAGGAATAACTCCACTGCCACTCGTGACATGTTTGTCAGAACGAGCAGCAGACGTTCGCCTCTGGTGTTACCTGTACCGATGATTTGCTAAATCACTCCAATCCTTGATTCTGGGAGGCAGCCTTGCTCTGCTCTGCTCTGCTGTGAGAACCCCCATTCCTGGGCTGTTCATGCACAGCTTCTAGCATGTAAGCTGCTCCTAGGATTGTGCAACGGAATGAAACTAGCCAACATCTCCAGTCCCAGATACAACCCTAGGAACCTCCATCTTGCAGTGTCCAGTTATGCCTGCTGGACACTGCAAGCTTATGAGTTTGTCAATTTAAAAAGAAATTGATATGTACCAGGCTTGTTATCCCAAGGGGAGTGTCTGACATGTTTCAGACCAAATGCACTGCTTCAGGTAGAATGAACAAACAGATTTATTAACTACAAAGATAGATTTTAAGTGATTATAAGTCAAAACACAAGAAGTCAGATTTGGTCAAATGAAATAAAAGCAAAACACATTCTAAGGTGATCTTAACACTTTCAATGCCCTTACAAACTTAGATGCTTCTCACCACAGGCTGTCTGGTTGCCCTTCAGCCAGGCTCTCCCCTTTGATCAGCGCTTCAGTCGCTTGGTGGTAATGTCTGTAGGTGGAGGGGGAAGAGAGAAGAAGAGCATGGCAAGCGTCTCTCCCTTTTATCATGTTCTTTCTTCCCTCTTGGCTTTGCCTACCCCCTGCAGAGTCAGGTGAGCATTACCTCATCGCAGTCCCAAACTGACGAAAGGAAGAGAGGTGACTCACTGGGGAGTCCAATAGATCTTTTGTTGTTGCCTAGGCCAGTGTCCTTTGTTCCTGTGAGGCTGGGCTGGGTTTGTCCCATACATGCCCTGATGAGGTTTGAACTGCCCCTCTGCTTTTGGAGAGTTTTTGCCTGGGCTTGCTTTAAGCCATGAGGACACATTCTCAGCCTCATAACTATATACATGAAATTACAACCTATAACATTATTATAACAATTACTATTACATTACTATAACAACAGTGCTCAGTGCATCATGAGCCTTCTGAAGACACCTGACATGACAAACTTTGCATTAGATACTACACAATCATATTATAAGGATGAACATGGGGGTGCTGCGTGTTCCCCCGAGATACAGAACGTCACACTGGTCAACAGTTTGGGATCCATTCCTGCAGCCCAAAGAAACAGAGTGCGCAGTACACAAAGCGTTGAAAGATGGTGTCAAATGTGGACGGAAGCACAGGGATTGCTGGGATGCGAAGCAATGCATCACGGGGCATTGGGACAGGATCCAGGATGCCCCGCGACCCCTTCCACCTTCCCACAACTCTTAGCGGCAGAAGAGGAAGAGATGCTCTGTGGGATAGCATCCCAGAATGCACCGCTCCAAATACTGCTGAAAGTGAGCAAGTGTGAACATGCTGTTGCGCAGGCAGCTGACAGTGTGAACACACAACAGCGATTTCCCTTCAGCGCTCTCAGAGCGGCGCTGTAACTCTGCCAGTGTAGACATACCCTTAGACTTGACTACGCATGAGGAAGATGCCCTAAACTGAATGACTTTGTTCAATTGAGCTTTGTTTGTTTTATTTCAATTAAATCAAAGCCTCCAATTGTGAGTTGCTGATTTCCATGTAGATTCATAAAGTAACAGCAGTGCATCAGATGTAAACCAGCATCTGCTTCACCCTGTGTAGAATTCACTGAAGTGGAACAAAGATCCAGATAGAAACTGGAGAGTGAATCTGTGTGACTGTTGGGCTGATTAAGATGCAGGATTGCAAACACCAAGCACTTGAAAAATCATGAGTTGGGCTAAAAAAAACCCTACAAGATTTTTAAAAATAATAAATTGTTTCCTTCTTGTATTTGCCTTTTGGGGTCTGAGTCTTTAGGGGCCACTAGGTTACATTTTCAAACTTTTCTCTGCAATTGTGAGGGCTAGAAACTTCCTTGTAATTTTTTTATGTAGTAAAAGCTGAGAGTCTCAGGAAATCACCTGACTCCAGGAGCTGGGGCTTGAAGAGAAACACCAAATGTTGTGAAACTTGTGCTAAAATTGCAAGAGTTGGCAACACGGCAAGTATTGGCCATGCATCAGCCCATTCTGATTTGCACTTAATTGTTTGACATTACGTGGGAGGGTGGAAAGGCCAACAAGTAAAAAGAAAATCCTGAAAGTCACAAACCCTACCTCCCCAGGCCAGGGTGTGTTGGCCGTTCTTACCCCACTCATGCGGGAGGGGTGAGGGGTAGCGTGATGTTGCTGCAGCTGATAAGCACCCAGGCTCTGTCCCCCTCCTTGTTTCCCTGCCTGCCCGATGCTCACTGGCTCCAGGTCCCTGGTGCTCTTCCATGGGGCAGGGGCTGGGAATCACCACCTGGGTTTTCCCCGCAGCAGCAGTGGCATGTGGGGCTCTGACAAAGCTGCGGCTCCTCCGTGGAAGGTGGCATGTAGGTCAAGGGCAGCCTGGCTGCCTGTGGTCTGCCAGCACCTTGCTGGCTTTCCAGCAGCCATGTGCTGTACGTGCCCTGTGGGATCTGTCCTCCAGTGGGGGGCTGGAGGAGGGAGAGGCTGGAGCCATAGTACCTGGCCTGAG